TTTTTTTTTTTTTTTTTTGCAACATGTTAATTAGTAATATTCAAGATATTTTGGTAGATAAGGAGACAATGCTATTTAAATATTCAAAAACACAAAGGAAAACAAATGGAATTTAGATCTTCCAGAGTTAAGTTTGACTATTTAAACTCCATACATTTATTTTTTTAAAGATTTTAGCAATAACTGAGAAAGTTTTTTCATTGTTGTTTTATTTTAGAGATTTTTCTAAATCCAATGTTTGATTGCAAGGTATAGTTTCTTGGATTGCATTTGCTTAATATGAAAAGGTATTTGATTTTAACCATCAATTTCATTTTTCCCCTAATTATGTTTTATCTTTTTTCTAATTTTAATACTTTGTAGAGGTAAATTAATTGCAAAAGATATGAAACATGTATTTCTTGATCAAATTCATTCAATAAGGAAGATTGGAATATTAAAGTGTGAATATGTAAATTGTGTGATGTTTTTAGTTTGAAACATGACAGAAACCATCTAACCACTGAAATGGTTTTGGTCGATAAGAAGGTAATTTTATAATTTTTTTTTATATTAGTTGTACAATGGAAAGCAATTATCCCTCATCCATCAATCCATTACACCCGTATGTCATGCAATTTAAACTTAAAATCTCTTAATTCCAATAGAAGGAAATTACCATTGAGTTATTTTAAATTGTTGACTAATATTATAAGTTATTACATTTGGTCTTTTAGGTATTTAACAAATTAATAATAATTATTTGTTTGTAAAAAAATTTTATTTATGCTATAATTTAGAGTTCTAATATTTTACAATTTAAGAACAAGTTGGTCAAAGGGAATGTTTATTTCTTGAAAAATTTTTCTATAAAAAAGAATAAGAACACATATCATATTATCTTTTATAACAATTATAGGATTTAATTCTATTTTCATATTATTGTCAAAGAATTGAAGGAAAAAGTTACAGTAATCTCAAAATTTGTATTTGAACTCATTGACTATGAAAAACTTATCGAGAAAAGGAAGAAATGCCTTTGAGGTATTTTTAAAAAATTTTAATATAATTTTATTAAATGAATATGTAATTTATTTTTATTTAAAATGTTTTTATTAAAAATTTAAATATTATTAAAATTTTTGTCAATGTTAGAACTCCACGTAAAAGACAAGTAAATGATAATGATGTTACTTACATGGAATTGCGAAGTGTAGATCATAAGTAATTCATAGTATATTATTAACTTATATATAATAAAAGGGGAAAAATGAGATAGAAAATAACATGCTATGGTTATTTTTTATTAAAATAATCAAGATACTTTACAGAGGGGAAGTTAATATTATATAATATTTTTATTTATAATATTATAAATATATAAAGGCAGAAGGTTACACTTGAGTCTTCGGGATTAATCACGTAACTTTATGTATAATTACATTTTTTTTAAAGAGTAACGATTTGAATTTAATTTTTTATAAATTTGTTTAAAAATATATATATACAGAGAGAGGGAGGAAGGTTGAAATAAAAACAAGCCTCGATAATTTTGAAGCCCAAGTATTAATAATTTTTTAATACTTAAATCAATTAAAAGCTTTTTAA